ATCTCCACCTTCTTCCGCATCTTCGTCTTCTTCTTCATCTCCAGATGATTCAGATTCAGGCTCACCCCACATGCCTCTATCTACTTCTTCATCTAAAGCATCGCTGCCCGGTGTACGAGACACACCAAAAACATCTCCGTATAAAGGTCTACCTGTCTCATCAACAGGTGGTTTTCCCCAACCACCAGCATGATATCCAAAGGCACATCCTTCTGGGATTGGAGCATTTAAGCCTGGTATTTTAAGATTAGGATAACTTGGYGGTGGCCCGTAACGTTGCATAGCAATTAACCATGGTGGTGGTACCTTATGACAGTTCGGTCCTACAGGCATCCCTAATGCCGTACGTAACTCGTCGGATAATTCACCAGGTTTYTTTTCTTTAAGTCGAGTTTCAAATTCCTTACCTTCGTAATACAGATCACCGTGGATCGTCATGCGCGGTTTGGTTTGCCACTTAAAAAATGCATCATGAAGTTTTTGGTAGTCTATATCAATTTTACCCAATTTGGGTCTTGCTCTCTCGCGCATTTTTGCTTTTAAAGTACGAGTGTCGTCGCGCTCTTGCAAACTTGCTCTCATTTCTGTTATTCCAGTACGTTTTATAAAATCAGGTAAATCAAAAGGAGGTTTTTCAATACCTCGTTTTCCTTGTAGGTATTTTCTTTTAAAACACCAATGTCTAGGCACAGGTACGGTGTTACGATGTGCTTTAAGTTGTACAAGAAGTTTTGGATCTCTGGCAGTAACGTCATGCATTTCTACAACATCGGGCCTACCTACCAAYTGTTTTAATTCTGCGACACTCAGTCGCGTTAATCTCTTCAATTTTCTTTTAGATAATCGTGGAACACCATTTTCTCCGGTACCCTGTTGTTGCTGTTGCTGGCCTACATCGTCATCAAAGTCATCCAAAGGTGGTATTTTACTGGGTACATTACCCGTTGTTTGCATACTAGTAACAGGTGGATATTGACCAATTGGTTCGCCCTTATCCGCAGCATCGTTAGGATGAGGTTCTGGTTCGGTTAATTTAAATGCTTCAAAAACTCGAGCAAATTGACGATACATCGGCTCCAAGTCGTTTATACTGGGAATTTCTTGAATATACTCTATCTCTGGTTGATCTTCTTTTGATTTACTATATTCTATTTGTTCTTGCTTCCTCTCTAACTCTTTCTTCTCATTAGTACTCTTCTTCCTCTTCTTCTTTTTTTTCTTTTTACTTTTAGTTGCCTTTGAATCGACTTTTTCAATGGTTGTTTCTGGTTCCAATAWATCTTCCAAGTGAGGAGGTCCATCGTCTCCGGTAGATTCGTCATTGGTAGATTTGCCTAAAGAGACYATATCATTTGGATCACCGCCTACTTCCTTAGCCCTTTCCGTTTTAAACGCTAAAGCTTGTTCCAAGGCAGCTGGAAGTTTWACTGTCTCATTATCTTCCTCTCGTACTGTATCCTCTATACCACTTTGATGTTTTAATTCCGTTGGTGGTGTTACTTTTAAGCTTAATAAACTAGGTAACGTTTTTGGTGGTTCCATCATATTTGAAGTATGATGATTAGAAGTCATACCCATCAYAGATGGCATTGGATGGGACATCTGTTTAATATCCATCCTATGTTGTGTTCCTTGATTCTATTGTAAAAAAAATTATTATTATAAAATTAGATCTATTATAATACAGTATTATTCTAATATGTCTCTTTAATAATTGAATCAGAAAATAAAATCAGTGGATGATTATTGTTTTGAATGTTAACAATACATATGAACGTAGTCAAATGACGATAATAACCTCATTTCCCGGTATATTTTCCATATCAACAATTGCTTGTATAAATGCGTATTAAACACCGTAAATACATAAACCGTACTTAGTTTATTATCATTTATTGAATACTTATATCTCAAAGGGTTCACACGGCACTTTAATTCAATACTCTTTAACACTTTTTACAGCTTTTGCATATACTCATGGAGTCTATATACAAGGAGGACGATCGAGATAGGCGTTTGCGTCCAATTTGTGTTGTTGAAAATGACTGAATATCGAGTATGATAATTATCCATGAGGGTGGCGGTGATGTTCTTAAGTTTAGATTTAAGTACGTGTGATTTTATAAATAAACAAATCTAATTAATAGTTCTCTTTGATGTTTTTGTTTTAATTACTGTTTTTAAAAATCAGACCAAGCGACTAGACGCGCTTTCTAGTGGCAATAGAAATCATTCTTTCATTGTAAATATGGTACCCATATTTATAACACGGCGATCGTCCTTCTTGTATATAAGCTCTATGATCACACCGCTTGTTTACTTTTTTGTTGTATAATGACTTAAAGCATATAATAGCTGCTAATAAATATTTCTAGTTTCTACTCGCATGGTGCGTCGTTGTTATTTTCCGATCTCGAACCGTCCCAAAGAAAAATTGGTAATCCTGATTGTCGGATTCAAATTAATCGAATGCAAATTGGCACATTTAAAGTGCGTTTGACACAATTGAACAAGAAAGATTCAATTGATAGAATGATTTTGTTATATAATTGAAAAAAATGAAGAGGATTAAGATTACCCTCAATAAACCTAATCCATTATTTGAGCTTTGGTTGGAAGAATGGAAAAATAAAGCGATTTCTCAAAAATCTGATTTGCAATGTCATTTTGCTAAAGCTTTGAATACTTTAAGGAAATATCCTTTACCGTTAGAGTCTGGAAAAGATTGTATTATTTTAAAACATTTTGGTTTAAAATTATGTAAGATGCTAGATAGAAGACTCCAAGAACATAAGGCACATAAGAAAGAAATAAAGCGTACGCATAATGTTTGCAAGTGCGATAGTTGTTGTCGTAGCAAATTCATTCTTTCATCAAGAGAGAAACGTCTAGAAATCTACAAAGAAGAAATCAACAAACGTGAAATGAGGCAAGTAAGTTGCACAATTTTTATAAACACTTTTATAACACATCAAGATTCACTGTTATTTGTAAACGTTTCTTTGTAATAGAAAACCAAAAACACCGTCTATAATTTCTTCTTTTTCGTCATGGAATTTTACTTGTTATGCTATATTATTGACGTTACACAATAAAGGAGACTCGAGTTATTCAGGTAAGTTTTTATCACTTACCTGTAGAATTTTTATGCTGTATTAAATAGAATTCAACTATTTACTCATGGGAACAAATTTTTAAATTAGATTTATTGTATGAATTTAAACAATTATACAATACATCACTGAAATCCTTGGATCCGGATATATGCGATGGAAAATCATCTATTTCAATATTAATTGCTAACAGATTAATAAAAGTAACACAGTTTCCTATTAGGTATGTTTAATAAATTCAAATACAGATAACTTCCAAAAATAATATATTCGTTTTTTTTCTAAAGGTATCATTTGACTAAACAAGGAGTACACTTAGCTATCAAAATAAAACAAATTTTAAATTTGACAAACTATGATAAACACTTACTTAAACTTTATTATAAAAAATTGCAAGATTCTTTATCGATGCTAAATCATGCGAATTTTATGAATAATAATGATGTTAAAGTAGGAAATACTTCTATATCGAGTAATGAAAACTATGTCGTTGAAAATGAGAAAAATAAAAAAAAGTCTCCTTTATTCAATCATTCAAAAACATACGATCAAGAAAGTGCAGTTAAACCACCATCAAATACAGTAGATATTGTATGTAATCGTGATGAAGTACGATTAAAACCGAATTCTTTTGATATAGTTTTATTAGTAGATATTAAGGAGACTTGTGGGTAAGCGAGCGTGCATTTAATTTATATACTATTATATTTATATTATATATATATACAGGGTTGTGCGTAAAAAAAGGGTTAAATATTTGAAGGGCTTTTAGTACTCACCAAGATGAGTAAAGAATGTCTAATTAGCATAAGTCTTAAAATCAACCCTTTCAATGTAAATTAACTTTTATTATTTATGAGCATTAGAATCTAGAGTAAGCAAGTCTGTTGGTAATATATTTTATGTACACAAAAGAATTAACTTAGAAATACACAAGGAATATTTGAAAGTGTATGTCAATCTATTATCCATAGATATCAGAATTGCATTCTAGGGAGGAAGACATATCGAATATTCATGATTTGTATATATTATGTTTGCATCTACGAAATAATCTTTGTTGATATTAGTAATCATTTTTGCTTATTTTCATAATAAATTTATCTTGACAACATTGAAGTATTTCTAAGTAAATTCCTCAGTATAAATTCATTCTTACCAAAAGATTCACTTACAATATCGAATGCTCATAAATAATAAAAGTTAATTTACATTGAAAGTATTGATTTTACGACCAATGTTAATAAAACATTTTTTTACTTGTTTCTGTGAGTACTATAAGCCCTTCAAATATCTAACCCTTTTATTACCACCTCTCTCTTGTATATATATATATATATATATATTAATTATTATATTATTAATAATAGTGGAAAAACAAAACCTGAACATGATGCAACATTAGCTGAATTAAAAGAATTAAGAGTATTATTTGAAGTACGTCATTTAAAAATTGGTGACTTTACCTGGATTACTAAATGCAAATATACTAACAAGGAATTAGTTTTACCATATATAGTGGAAAGGAAACGATTGGATGATTTAAGTGCAAGTATTAAAGATGGACGGTTTCATGAACAAAAGGTACAAATTAGTTTGTTAAAATAAATACATAATGCTGATCTTTCCACTTCTCTTTATAACATAGATTTTTTTCTGAAACTTTACAGTTTCGTTTAAAACAGTCTGGAATACAAAATCTTTTATATATAATAGAAGATCACGATAAGATTATACGAACTGGAATTCCGCTTTCAACTTTATTGCAAGCAGCTGTTAATTCATTAGTACAAGATGATCTTATTGTTAAGTATACGGATAGTCATCAAGATACAATGTCATATTTAGCAACTTTAACGAGTATTTTACATAAAATTTATGCTGTATGTATATTACATTTTAATATATTAATTATGTGGTAACTTATACTTATTTATATTTAATATATTTTAGAAGAAGAATTTAATAGAACATAAAAAAGAGAATCTTGTACCAACGGACGTTTCCAGTGATACCGTTTTACTAATGAATTTTGAAGAATTCAATAAAGCTGCATCTAAATTGAAAGTATGTATACAATTATTATAGACATGTAGAATAATATTATATAAAAATTTCATAATATTCATTTCTTTTTAACAGAATTTTAATGTACGTCAAATGTTTGTTCGTCAATTATTACAGTTGAAAGGTATGTCAGTAGACAAAGCATTAGCAATTGTCGAATGTTATCCTACACCACTCATGTTAATTAATGCTTTGCATACATCTGACTATGGACAAGCGTTAATAGCTAATATACAATATGGATTACAAAAACGACAAATTGGACCAGCTCTTAGCAAAACTGTTTATTTATTTTATACGCAACAAGAATTTCGGTAATTAAATTGCAGACAAATATTTGTTATTCCTCCAAGAGAGAGAAAAAAGAATTTCAATTTTTTAGAAAAATATACAATCATAAAATGTTTATAAAATGTGCTTAATTATTATATCGTATGGAAATAATAATGTAATACAATCAACGGACATAAAAGAAGATAATATCGGACTCTCTTTATTTTTCTTTTCTACTTATTTGCTAATCGCAATAAATAGGTTCTATTTTTATTATAAGATCCTTACTCAAACGATTTCATAAACAAATGAATAATAACCTTTTGTTTAGTATACTAATTTATACATTCAAGATTTGAAGGAAATTGTTAAAATTTTCAATGGTTCTGATGTAATAGTTATTTTTAGAAGAAAATGGTTATACATTCACTGAAACTTTTACTCCATGTATTTATTCATAAATAGAAAATGTTTACTTTTTCGGAAATGAGAAAAAGTTCTTGTTAGACAGTAACAGTTATTCTACTTTGAAAAAGTTAAAGTACTTTCAAACAAATTTACCATTAAGTATTATATAGATAAGGGTATGTGAGTACAATAAAATAATTGCATAAAAATCATGATTTACTTACTCATCTATATTTAATCAGTTTTCAATACCCTGCTAAGTAAGTGAAAAATAGTAAAAATTTTTATATTTTACTTTAAAGTATTTGTGTTAAGAAATAAATGTTTCTTTAAACCTTTTATTAACAAAATATAAAATAACTGTTAAAATTGAACTTCTATAACAGAAGTAAAGTATTAAAGTTTACAAATTAACTTTTATTTATAAAAATTAACAGTTTCATTCAAGTCCTGTATAAATCAAACGTATATATTTTATCTTATTTTATAGATGATAAATATTTTTAGTTTTAAAGCATTATACAATTTTTCTTGTATTAAATATTATATTTATGTCATTGAAATGTTCAAACAAATTTATATTCTGAATCTCTATATGTATTTATGTCTATCAAAAGATGCGTGATAACCTAATGAACTTTAATTGAAGTTCATTCTAAAAGAACGTCAGTCACGTTTTGTTAGTCTCATCCAACCGTAGACACGATAGTGTTTCCAATGGCTGCTTTGAAACATTTTGTTAATAAAATCGACGATGCCGTTGCAGAATCTTTGTCAGGATTATGTTACACTTATCCGAAATTGGAATTACAATTAGCTCATAAAATTGTTCTATCTCCTGATGTACGTATGTAACGTAATAATAATGATATGTTCTTTTGTTTAATGTTTTCTAAAACTGTAATCATTCATTGTTTAAGTTATAATAATATTTTCCTTAATTTTACTTTAGATTAGAAATCAGAAGGACAAAGTTGCTGTAATATGTGGAGGTGGTAGTGGTCATGAACCATTTGTAGCAGGTGTTTATAAATATTCACATAGTTTGATAAACAATGAGTTACTTAATTATTTTTGGATTCGATTTATATAGGTTTTGTTGGTACTGGTATGCTGACAGCTTCTATAGCTGGTTCTATATTTGCATCACCACCTTCTAAACATATAACACATGCCATTAACTGTGTCGCACAAAACAATACAGGTATTCAATTTTCTTATTTAGTTTTTTTGTTAACCATCAAATTTTATTTCTTTTTTATCGCTTATTGTTTTTTCATATTTTATAGCTGGTATATTAGTAATAGTTCCAAATTATACCGGGGACTGTCTTAACTTTGGAATAGCGCTTGAGAAAGCAAAACAAACGGGTATTAATGTATGTTTATGATAACAATTAAAATTTTCTTAAATATTTTTATTTATTATTATTAAATTTTAATGTATAAGGATATTTGTAATTATCACTGACTAATATCACATATGATAGATTACAGAGATAATGGTCAATGAAGATTGCAGTATTCCTGAGAAAGAACAAAGTTCTATAGGTAAACGGGGTTTAACTGGAATGGTATTGGTTATTAAAATTGCTGGCGCGCTTGCTGAAAGAGGGGAATCTCTTTCAAACATATTGAAATATGCAGAACTTACTGTGAAAAATATGGCTACTTACGCTGTTGGAATATCAGCATGTTCTATACCAGGTTTGATAATTTATATGATATAAGATATAGAATAAATAAATAACTAGAAGTATATATACATGTATGCATAGGTCAAGGATATATGTTTGAATTGGCATCGGATGAAATAGAAACTGGTATGGGTATTCACGGAGAAGCTGGCTATGAACGAATGAAAATAAAAAGTGCATCTGAAATCGTTGCACTTATGTTGCAACATATTTCTGAAGAATTAAAATTAATTAGTGGCGATAATGTTGTGGTAATAGTAAATAATTTTGGAGCATTGAGCCAGTTAGAACAAGGCATTGTTACACATGAAACTATAAAACAACTTAGTAAGTATATATACATATGTAGAATTCGTGAAAAAATTTAACAGCTGGATTGACTGTGGACCAGGATTCAAATCCGGGTCTTCCGTTTTTCAGACAACTACTCCAATCATTGAGCTATCCAAAACATTCCGATCATTTTTCTTACTTCTATTTTATTCGACATGGAGCTGTTCTATCCCACACATATACAGAGTGATTCAGATATGCTGTCCCAGCTCCAAAAATCACCCTGTATATGTATATAGGTTTTTCCACGTCAAATCGGCCACTTTTTTAGGTGACCCCTTTCGATACAGCTGAAAATTTTATACGTTTTGAGTCTCACAAAAGACATATTCATGATTTTATTTAAAATTTTTATTTAAAAAGCATTTAAAAACAATTTAGAAAAAACTGATTCATTTGGTGGATGTTTCAAAATGTTAAGGACATTAAAAAAAAAACCTTAAATTTCGGAAAAAATTTATAGAGTAATAGTAAAAATAAGATAGACCATGAAGTGTAATCAGTAGAGTTATTACCAGTTTAATTGAAAATGTTTTTATCAGGTTTTAAGAGAGCTTAACGTGAATACAGGATATATAATGGGTAGAGAACGCAAAAATAAAAAAGTTCATATGGATATATGTATATAAACTTTTTTATTTTTACGCCTTCTCTACTCACTAGTGAAGTGGGTCCTATGTTATGTTATACCCTATATAGTAAATTTTTGGTCAATTTTTTATTAACATGTTGAACATGATGCCGATTTTGCTTTGGTTTTCGTTCAAATGGTGAACAGCGGTGATCACCCGACGTTCCGTATTAATTTTTTCTCGATCCAGATGAAAAAAAGAACACATGTTATGTTATGGTACTTACTGAATTCGTATTGAAATTCTTAAACAGATAGACGTAAAATAATTACAGGTTTATTAGCAAAAAATTTAAGGTAACCTTGAAAAAATCATGAAAAAAATGGACAACAAATTTTCTATATGTAAGTTAAAGCTCTCTTGAAATTATGCAATATCCGGTAGAAACATTTCCGATCGGACTGCTAATAACAGAGTAATCTCAGTTGATCACGCTTCGTGTTTTATCCTGCATAGATATAGGTACAATTAGTAAGGTATAAATAAAATAAATATTCTTACAGATAATAAAGGTATACGATCACTTCGAGTTTATTCGGGACTTTTAGTAACATCTTTAAATAGTGCTGGAATACATATTACGATATTAAAATGTCCTGAATATCATAAAAATATATTTCTAAGCTGTCTCGATGACTCAACGAATGCTCCAGGATGGCCAGGTTGTTTTTACAGTGTTCCTTTGACTATAACACGACCACCGTTTAATGAAATAGAAAAAGAGAAATTAGACAAAATTGGCATTGAATTAAGTAATCGATCTAAACACTTAATGAAATTATGTCTGCAAAATGCATGTAAAAGCGTCATCGAAAAAGAGGAATATCTTAATGAATTAGATCGTGGTTGCGGAGATGGAGATTGTGGTACTACACTTAAAAGATTTACCATGGGTATGCACTGTTGTAACAGTTGTTTCTATAAAAAGATAACAACATACTGTACTAAATTTAACAGTATATACATGTAGATTTATTTTAGGCGTTCAAAAACATCTGAATGATCTTTCTTTTGCTTATCCTTCTTTATTATTAACACAAATAGCTGATATTGCAGAAGAAATCATGGGAGGATCGTCTGGTGCATTGTATTGCTTATTTCTTACAACTGGAGCAAAAGAATTATTATCCCTTAAAGAAAATGAAAATATTACTTCTGCGTGGTGTCGTACATTTCGGAGTGCATTAGACTCCATAATTAAGTATGGAAAAGCAAAACCTGGTGACAGAACAATGGTACAGTAATGTTTAATTAATTATTTACATATTAATATGATTCATATTTCACAAAGAAATCATTAAAATAATATTATTTATATTTACTGTATATATATTTGTGTATAATATAGTTAGATGCATTAGATCCTGCATGTAAGGCATTAGAAGAATTAGTAACAGCACCTTTAGCTGATATTATTCAAAATGTAATTATCGCAACGTGGCAAGGATGTGAAGCGACTAAAGGTAAAAAAGCGAGGTAAGAAGAGAGATAATTCTATAATAATTAACATTTTTCTACCATATATCCAGAAATGCACACATATTATATTACTTATACAGAGCAGGACGGGCAGCTTACGTCAAAAAAGAACATTATATGCAACAAGTAGATGCAGGAGCATATGCTGCCGCTACTTGGATAACAGCTGTAGGACAGACGATTAAAAATTTTAAGGAATAATATTATTGGATATATTTCTTATTTTATGATACTTCTATAAAAGGTATTCATTTATAATTTTATGTACAAATAGTTTTTTAAATGTTTACAATCATTGAAATTACATTTTATACATAAAGTGTACTATTTTTACAAAACAAGTTAGTTGTACAAGAATTTGCAAAAAAAAAATATTCAAAATGAAGGAAAAAGTTACAAGTTGTGTAATGTTTATATATATATGAAGATAAAAATGAAAAAGGAGAGAAAAAAAATGTGTATATATATATATATGTATATGTTACTGTGAAAGACCGAAATTGGAGATTGTCAAGATTCACATAGTCGCTTGGCGTATGTCCGAAATATTAATGTATAAGAATAAACCCAAATATTCGGTCTTTCACCGACATATTTGGAATGCGTTGACAAGTGACCATGTGAATTTTTACATTCTCCAATTCCGGTTTTTCACGGTAACATATATATGTTGTGGTCAATGTATATATTCCGAGCATTGTAAATTGCTCGGGGCATTCTATAGAATACCCACATAAATTGGGCAATGTATATACTGAGCATGTATTTCATACATTGCCCAGTTAATCTTTCGAATGCCCAGAGGATTTTAATCAATCTATAAAATGTGCTTTAGTTGGCTGTGTTTAGAGTACGGAGGGGAGAGGGCGAAATGATTTTAAGCTCTTTTAAGTGGAACAAACCATGAAAATTTAAAATTATGTACACATTGTCATTAACAAGTTTCGGTTAATCTATAAAATATGCTTTAGTGGGTATATTTAGAGCACAGGAGTAGGAGGGGAAAAAAATCTCAAACTATTGTAAGAAAAACAAACCATGGCAGGTGTATGTTCGTACGGTTATGAAATGATTTTCACTTTCAGTACTGTGCACGGTGCACGCGCTTTTCCAACTATCTAATTATAAGAACTTAATCTTACAAACTTCCACGTTGTAAAGGTAGAAGGAGGAAATATATTATAGAAAAAGAAAACACAAATTTAATTATTAATAATTAAAGATATATTCTTGTTACTATAAAAATTAGCGTAGTATTCGGTTTCTGTTAAGATTTTAGCTGTTCTTTCTTCTAAGATCACTTCGCTCTCCCCCCCCCCCTATGCTCGAAACACATCCTACTAGAGCAAATTTTAAAGATTGACCGAAACATGGTAATGATATTGTGTACGTAGTTTTGAATTTCTATGGTTTGTCTCACTTACACGATCTTAAAAACACTTTCCTGCCTCTCCAGCCTGCTATAAACACAGCTAATTGAAGCACATTTTATAGATTGACCAAAACACTCTGGGCATTCTATAAATTGACTGGGCAATCAATGTATACAATGCCGGCAGTAATACATTATAATCGTAATATATATATATATATATATATATATATAGTGTAATTTAAATTATATTTATCACATTGTGTACAATGCAATATAAACGTAGTTATAATATAATTTTTGTAATATTTACATGTATTTAAAATTCATATTATTAATAAGTGATGTAAGAGTTCGTTGCTTAAAAAAATGAAATAAAATATAATTTCAAAACTTCTTATTACATTTCCATACATTTTAATTAATCACATCTGTAACAAATGAAATAAAGAATAATATCGAATAATTACTTATACTGTATCTTGTGATGCTTATGATTCCACTTAAATCCTCATGATCTCATTTGTTATCCAAAACTAAATCCTAATATCTCTTACTAAGAAAATGAATAAAAATTAATCTATATCACTTTCAATTATTCAAGAATTGTGTTAAAATTTGTTCACAAATACTAATTTATCGTGATTAATTCTGTTTCTCTTTTAAGCTTGGAATTAGTATATATCAAGCTTTATATTGATTTTCTTAATCAATAATTAATAATCATAACTTAATTAAATAAAACAGAGTTAGGATCTTCATTATCAAGTTGCTTTACATGTCTCAAAACATCTTTTTTTGTGATTACCCCTAATAATCGTCTGTAACAAAAATTAATTCAGTAATTCTCTTTTTGTTTTTCTTAAATCATTATTTATGATTAAACCATGTAAAAATGTAATTTCTGTTCTTACCCATTATGAGTGACAAGGGTCTGACGTAATCCTAATTTCCTAAACATATCAACTACAGTCTCCATTGGAGTCTGATCTGTAATAGTAATCGGTGCCATATCTAATATTTTTTTCAGTTTTAGCGGAGGTGGCGAATGGGCTTGAATATTATTTCCATTAGAGAAGATAACTAGAGATTGTCCAGTAATTTCTTCTATCATGCGTTTAGCATTCGCTATAGCAAGATTAAGATCTCGTCGTAGAACAAAACCAACTAAATACTGAGATTCTTTAGAAACTATAACTGGAAAACCATTGTGTTCGGTTTCTTTCAGTAAATTTTCTACATCTTCAACTGTCATTGAATCTTGTGTAAGAACGTGCAGAGCTTCATTACGTCTAAAATATAAAATATAATTTTATAATAGGAATAAAAATAATAGTAAGCAATAAGAATAAATAACAAATTATTGCCGGACTTACTTAGGCTGCATAACATCAGCGGCTAATGTTGTATGCTGAAATTCGTCTTTGCTATCCAAAAATGGATATCCATTCAGACCTATATGGGCATCATAAATACCTTGTTTTCCAAGAGCATCGCCCACCCATTTACTAGCCATAGCAGCTGCCATTAACGGAACAATGTATCGAACACCACCAGTTAATTCAAACATGATAACGACTAAAGAAACAGTCATTCTAGTTACACCGCCGAGTACAGCAGCAGCTCCTACCATTGCATATAATCCAGGAGTTATACAATCAACTCCTGTGGAACACTCTTCGCTAAACATCCAAATATGAGGATAATAATAAGCAAGTTGTTCCATTCCTATTCCAACTATTCGACCCATGATAGCACCCAAACAAAGAGAAGGAATAAATAACCCACAAGGTACTTTCATACCAAATGTAAATATGGTCATGATTAATTTTAAAATAAGCGCAAGTACAAGTAACCACATAGCTTTGTACACTCCAGGACCAGCTGCTGCAATTTCAATTGCAGACTTTACAGCTGTGAAATTTCTATCATAATCGCTGTAATATAAAAAATATATAGAGTTATTTTTATATCGCATTATTATTAATACACGTAGTATATGTGATAATAAATCACCATAAAATATCTGCATTAGACACTCCGCACTGACTGAAGAGTAAATAAATAAGTTGACTCGTATTCATTCTTGTGTATGGATTTGGATATCCAATTACAGCTGTTACTACTGTTACAATCAAAACTTCGGTAACAGGATACTGACCCAATTTTGAAGTTTTACGATATCGACACCAAAAGAGATTTGCTTTGATAAACAGTGTGCCAATTATACCCTAAAACAATAAATAAATATTTTTCGAATAGTATTGTACTATGAAACCATCAAATCATTGTAAAATATACTTACTCCCATTATACCAAGCATAACAAAAGGTATTAATTCAAAAAATATCCAAGGTTTATTATATTCTACGTAAAATAGTACTGAATGTTCATTTCCAAATGGATTTATAGAACGTAAAACAAAAGCTGCTATTAATGCACAGAAGAAAGATCTCCATAAGGTCTTCAAAGGGAAGTAATAACTGACCTGTAGAATTACAGATACATATGTAAATATTAAATTAGTACATATACATGAAAGAGAATATACAGGTAATCAAATTTTAATCAAATATTCTGCGAGTTCTTATGTCAGAAAAGCAAACATGATAAGAATCAATTTTAAGGAAAGTTTATGTTTCTATATCTTTGTTATATACAGGGTGGTAAAAAAAACAAAGGGTCCAATACTTTAAGAGTTTATGGTAGTTATTAAGAGGAGTACAAAATGTCTTATTAACATAGGTCCCAAAATCAATCCTCTGTAAATGTAATAAATTAACTTTTATTATTTATAAGCATTTAAGTCTCGAGTAAGCGAGTCTCTAGGCAAGATATTTAATGTACACAAAGGAATTTCCTTAAAAATGTTTCTGAAAAATATTAATTAGACATTTTTTATTTTTCTTGATAAGTAATATAAGTATTTACAATATTGGATTCTTTTTTTATCATCCTGTATATATAGTTTAAAAATAGAATACTTTTTATTATATAACACAATTGTTATTGCTCATGATAATATGATATAATATTTGATTTATGTTAAATTGAAACATATGAAGATTATAAAACTATAAATAAATTTAGCATATATCATGAATTTATACAAAAATATGTTCTATTTTCAATGAATACTGATCAATCGCTAAACATACTTCTGAAATCAACTAGATGCATCAGTGATCAATATTCTACAGTTTTCCACTATGCTTTTTAAATGTTGATATACATGACTTTGTAGAATTTGATAACTATTCTTCAACTGAAATGCAACTGTTCTGAAACATTATAGGATAGAAGCATATTGTTATTTATCACAATTCAACAAAAATTGATAATACTTTATATCGCTATCACTATCTCCAATTAAAATTAATTTTATGTCGATCTCTAATCTTTCTACCAAATATTCACCATATATAATTATTAGATTTATTTATTCTTGAATAAAACATAGTCTTGCAGCTTCAATGAAACATTATAATAATGAGAAAAAAAGATATATAAATATACTGCATATTTTAATAAAGATCATACCTCTTCCAAACTAAATAAGACACCTCCAATTGGAGCTCCAAAAGCAACTGATACGCCAGCTGCTGCAGCGGCTGATAAAATTTCTCTCTTTTTAGCTTCATTCCTTCCATATTTTGGGAATAGATATGAAAATATATTGCCTATACAACAAGCAATGTGTACCATTGGACCTTCTTTACCCAAGCTAAGACCTGCTGATACCGAAAGAATTAAGCCAACAGATTTAATAATTAATGTCCATTTTCCTAAGTATCCTCTGATAATAAAACCGCTTAATATCGTTTTAATCTAAAATAAAAATACTTGAAATTATAATTATTATACATGTAATTATAAATTACAAGATATAAGGAACAATGTTCGATTAAATGTTCATACGCACCTCTGGTATACCTGAGCCACAAGCATATGGTGCAAACATTCGTACCAAAGATGCAGAAAGCGATGCAAATAAAAGAGCCCATGCTATATAAAACATATATGATATTGTATACGGGCCTGCACCATCCTTTGATTGGTTGAATACTTCCGGCCATGTCCACCACTGCAAGGGTCATAAAATAAGAGTAAGAGAGACGGAAATACTTAATTGAGATAAATCAAGACTATAATAAGAGCATGGTTGAATCAATTATCTATACAATTACATTTACAAATGTAAGTATATTCTGCAAAGAGAAAGTGATATATTATATCTATTAATATTAATATATATATATATATATATATATATATATATACACACACATAAATATATATCTATATATATATTTGAAAATCTTAACCTGAGAACAATTCCCACCATCAAAAGTTGTTTCATTGTAACTCCAACAACATTGCTCTTTATTTAACCAAAAAGCTTGCGGACATATCCCAAATTTAAGATCTGTCATCCAAGATGCTCCAATATCTATCACTCCAGCAGCAACCCCCGTAAATAAACCAACAAATAAAACGCACAGCCATCCAGACCAAGCGTCATGAGCTCCCTTGATTAAACCCCAAATAGAATCATGTTTCTTTTTAATAATATACCGATGTCGCATTCGATCTCGTGCAATATCTCTTTGCCAATCGATAGTATGGAAGTCCTCATATTGTCCAATTCCAGGTATGTCATCAGAATCAACTGAAACTAATAAAATTGATCAACATGTGATATAAATATCCTGTAATATTTAATGTATTACCTTAAACACCTATTATATTTCGAATCTATTTAAAATATATTTCTAAACTTTAATGCAAATTAAAATTCAAGTATTAACATATTGTCCATTATTGTATAAATAACTCACTATGCGAAGATGCATCATCAACACGAATACAATGCTCAGATAAAACATTATTATCTAAATCATGAGATGTGGAATGATGATTAACATCTAACATGTCTTCGTCGCTGCTTAAATTTGTTTCACGACCTAAAGCTCTGCTTTGTAAGCGTGCCTCATCTATGTTACCACTATTATTACTATTTATGACCTAGAAATATAGAAATATCGTATACATAAACTTAATAATGTTATAATTATAACATGTTCTATAAAATGATATATAAATAATATATAAATAATAATATAAATAATATATTGATATCAAATAAGGAAGATACGGAAATAAAAATTTAATATACCTTTGCATCAACCGAACGATATGTCGTGATAGTACTTGCATTTATGTGAGAGACAGGAGAATTTAAAGATGAAGTGCCCTTCAGTGGAAATTTCTCCATGGCATTGTGATAATCTGTTATTTTTTATGATGAAAGTTATTATGAGATCAATTTTCTAAGGAAATGCAAGGGAAGAAATACATTTCTAGGATTTGATATCATAAATGTGATATATGTAATACTTTAAGAACAAACTAATTTATCCATCCAGAACCTATCAAAGATTCATTAATAGAAGATGTAAATGAAACACTTGACCATTTATAATACGATTTGTTACAAAGAATATGTCATTTACATAATACCATAAGATAATCCTTTTTCTGAAGATAATTAGGTTAGGATACAAGAAAGAAGGTTCACTAAACGAGGATGCATATCTTCTATAGCCAAAAATGAACTATTTCGATTAGAAGTAATAGATAGATGACACGTAGAAAGAGATTTGATCAGTAAGAAATTTTTCGGAAACATTTAACTTCAAAAGAAAAATAGGAAAAGGAAACGCAAGAATAGACAAAAATGATTATAAAATATTATCACAAATGTAATGTATATATATATATATATATATATATATATAGAGACTTATTGGCAGATATTTATAATCTAATCATAAATGACACGAATGTTTAACGCAATATATCTTCAACGATGACAGACAGTAATGCATTTCGTATGTATGTAAAAATTAAAATGTAAGGTAATGTAAAAGCAAATATTACAAGTAGAAATTTATATTGTTTCCAGATTGTTTTTCTAATCAAGATTACATTAGCTCCATAACATTATGATCAATATATTCAATATATTTCATGTCGTTAACTTACCATTTTATTAAAACAGATCAATGCTATTAACAAACGTCTAAATCACAATTTTTTGATATACAATTTGTAATGCATTATATTTCTTTGACAGTTTTACTGTACTATACTACGGAAGTATGGTAAACCATATTTCTACTAGTAAGTTACGACATAGAAACGCAGTTGTGATATTACGTTTGGTCACTAGAAATAGAAAAAAAAGTCAATAAATGTGCAATGTTTCATAATAGAAATAATAAACAAGATCAATAGAAATTAGAAAAAATCAACAATTTTAATTACATACTTACGTATGTAATTATATTTTTACAAATGTAATATTTCTACATCTTTTCTCAAGAAATGCTTCATCTAATCTGCATTGCTATTGGTTAATCTTCAATTTTTTATCCAATAGTAAATGCCGCTATAAAACGGGGGCGCCACCATTGCCTTTTAAAGGCCTCAAATATGTCTTAAGAATTACCATCTGTGATATATGTACATAAAATAATATAACCAAGTAAAGCAAATAATTTGAAGACAAATTTTAACCAGTACTTTGGTCTTTTATTCGTGTTTTGTTTATTACCCTCGTATCCAATAGATATTTGAGATATATTTAAAGGAAAAGAAGCATAATGTCGATCGGAGTGCCTATTAAAGTACTTCACGAAGCAGAAGGACATATAATAACATGTGAAACAAATACCGGCGAAGTATATCGCGGTAAATTAATAGAAGCCGAAGACAATATGAATTGCCAAATGCAAAATATAACAGTAACGTACAGAGATAAACAAGTTGCTCAATTAGAAAATGTATATATTCGTGGATCCAAAATAAGATTTTTAATATTACCAGACATGTTGAAAAATGCTCCGATGTTTAAAAGACCAGGTGGTAAAGGTTCTGGTACTGCGGGCAGAGGAAAATCCGCTATCTTACGTGCTCAAGGTATATTTAGAAATTTATATATTTTATAAGATATACTAAAGAATGCTTGAATTACTGAAATATCGATAATCTTTCTATTAACGTAAGTTCATTGAAATGTAACCTGACAATATTCATTGTTATACATACGTCAATTCTTACATGAACTATATTTATTTTTTTATAACATCATAGTATGATTTAAATTTAAAAACAATTATATCAATAAGATTTTTGGTCTAATATAAAATAACCGATGTCAATAATATTTTAATTATTATAATCTTAAAAAGAGTGACAAATACACGTATAAGTTTGATTTTAATATGTACTTTTATATACTGTTTATTCTTTGCTTTATATATTTGTATATAGTTATCTATTGAATTATTTGTATTTAGCTCGTGGAAGGGGTCGTGGACAAAACCAAAGAGGAAGAGGTACAGGTTCGGCACCTTGGTTGAATCAACAAAATCAACCAGGAGGGTCTCAAGCTGGAAGAGGACGTGGATAATCATAGTATTAACTAAATTATGTACATTATTAAATAACAAACTTATAAATACATTCAATCATTTTGTACTGTTTTCAATATTTTTCCAAATTTAGGTCAAATTTTATGTTAAATATCGCTACCGATACTGTTGTAATTAACAATAAACCATGATGATAAGATAATTTTTTATCATAATATCTTATTTACTTATATATTTTTAAATAGTATTCCGTGTATTTCAAATTGAATAGATTAAAAAAAATACGGCGATATACAATTCATTTTCGTATAAAAGTAAAAAATTTATATGTACTATTTTGTATTATTTAGCAACAAAGCTAATAAGATAAGGTTAAATATACCGTATGTAAACTTTCATTAATTTGTTTTTTTTTTGACTGCCTATCACACCACTTTGCATAATAAATCTCGCTATCGTAACACTGAAGTGTACAAAGTTCAAATAAACTTAACATTACGTTTAATTTTGTACTTGGGGAAACACATTAAGTGTATGTAATATATTTTTATTATTCATATTTTTATATTCTATTTATGTTATTTCTTTGGTAATTCTCTATTTTCATCAAAAAATAATTAAAAAATAAACGTATAAATAACAAAATTATATTAGAGTTACAATTGATAATCATATTATAATTGTTTCAGGTTATATATATATATATATATATATTACCTATAATAAATAATATTTTTATAATATTTCCAATCATGGTTTCTTTGATAAAAAATATTCAATTTGCTTCACTCTTTCACAATGGCAATAGAATTGTAACACATTCGTTTTCTAGCAATACACTACTAAATTTGGAAACCGATATGAAAGAAGTGATTTTAAAATATCTCGATGGGAAAGATAACGGTATAGCTGTACTAGGGCTAAATCGTCCAAAAACCCGTAATGCTTTTGGAACAAATCTTCTTTCTCAATTAAATCATGCAATTACTACGATTAAACAGGATGGTAAATTACGAGTATTAATTATTCGTAGCTTAGTACCATTTGTCTTTTGTTCTGGTGCTGATTTACGTGAAAGGTTAAAAATGAATAAATCCGAAGTATCAGAATTTGTAACTTCTTTAAGGAATGTTATGAACGACATAGAAACTATACCAATACCAGTTATATCTGCCATAGATGGTATAGCATTGGGTGGTGGTTTAGAATTAGCATTGGCTACAGATATTAGAATAGCAGCTTCGGAGGCAAAACTTGGTCTTGTAGAAACTAAATTAGCAATAATACCAGGCGCCGGTGGTACTCAGAGATTACCAAGAATAGTCGGATCTGCTATAGCCAAAGAACTTATTTATGCAGCACGCGTTTTAAATGGACAGCAAGCAAGGAATATTAGTCTTGTAAATGAAGCTGTATCGCAGAATAAAAATGGTGATGCAGCTTATCAAGCTGCTTTATTACTTGCAAGAGAAATTCTGCCTAACGGTCCTATCGGAGTAAAGTAAGTATTATGCATTATTTATTTTTCATTTTAACATATTATTCTATCTTCTAGGCTGGCTAAAGAGGCTATATCAAAAGGTATGGAAGTGTCTATAAAAGATGGATTAGAAATCGAAAAAGCATGTTACAATAAAGTCATAGATACCGAAGATAGACTAGAGGGTCTTTCAGCATTCACAGCAAAACGAGTGCCTATTTATAAAGGTACATAAATTTATGTAATATCAAATAATTATATAGTTAAGTTTCAAACAATGATTATTATATATCTTTTAAAATTTATTTGTTTAAATTAATACTTATATCACATTTTCCTAACAAAATTTAGTTTAATACTTTATTGATACCTCTGTTTAAATTTCATGACTTTTATGTATTTAGAATTGTGTCCAATATTTATATCATTGTTAGTTTATTTTGAGAAAAATAAACAATGTATATACAATTCGAATTTTATGTCTTTATGTGAGATTTTTATAATTGTTAATTATTAATGTATCAGGAATATATAATTTTAAATATACATATCTTTTTAAGACAATAAAAAATATATATACATTATAAATATCTTCCTTGATACTTTAAGAAATTTGTTAAATGAAAATAAACAATGATTATAGTTTAATTATTTAATTTTAGAAATGTAAAGAATGTCAATTTTGACAAACAATATTTGAGTATTAGAAATAAGATGACCGTAAAAAAACAATTATGATAAATATTATGTATATATACATACATATATACATATATATATATATATTTTAATGACTGAATTTTTGTATAACATAATTTTTTAAATAAATTTATGTTGTATATTCGGTAAAGTCATCCATGTAGACTCGTTTATTAGATCTTGGTGATAAATCATCTGAATTACCTTCAGAATTATTATTTACGGATTCTTGTAGTACTCTGTTTCTAAGTCTTTTAATATGCCTCAAACGTTCCAACCAGTTGGAAGCATATGGATTACGACTATTTTGTTTTATGGAAGAAGAAACCATGGAGGCTAGCTGCAAATAATAACAATAATCATCATCAATTTAAAGACAATAAATTAAACTTTTGCTATTCGTTATATAGAAGAATTTACATTTGCATGCAAAGCAAGCTGACGTGCGAGTATAGCTAGGTTTTCATCAGAAATGATTTTTGGTTCACTATGACCAATATGTTCTGCAAGTTCTTCTCTTGCTTGTACCATTACTTGATTAGTGCCATGATCTAAAGGTTGGATCACAACGCAAGCATAATTGAATTGTCCCTGAAATACAAACTTATCGTAAGCAAATTTCACTAATTAAATTTTCATTATATTATTTTTAGTACCTACTACTAAATATTATTACAAATTTATTTTAATGTAATTATTATTAAATATTCATTATATAGGATAAGTTAATTGGACTATTACAGATTATCTTAGTAACTATTCAAACTAATAAGATCTATTGCATTGTATATGTTATAGTCCAAGTAAGAAATCCGGATTTATGAACAACGCCTACGTATTGCTCATAATGTCAAAAACAGGAAATGCATTCATATATCTCACATTTCTTAGATATTGTGTAAAATGACAAATGAGAAACCGGTAAAGTAAAAAAGCAGATATGAAACATTTCGTTCTAAACCTGCTTATCTTCCTACGATAAGGAACAAAAGATACAGACGTTTTATGTAGGCCAGTCAAAAAGAGGCAAACTGGAACTTTTTCTAGTTAAGCATTTTTAATATAATGGTAATTCGACGACGCTGAATCGAATGGTGCTAATTTTTTTGCAATTGGATCACGAGATCTTTGAGAAAAAGGGTAAAATATGGCCATATCTTAGAATCTAGACGAAAAATACTCGCTACCGAATGAAAAAATAAAAAGAGAGAAATATCCATTTCTTTTCTCACTCGCATTCGCATTCACGACCGAGAGACCCCAAGATAACGCACACTAGCCCGCTGGCGTGTAAAACCCGACGAAGAGGCGGGGCTTGGCTCCACTCTTACAATCACGTTTTACTAATATTTCTCGCTTATTTCTGCAAATACGAAGATACACCTTAGAACATTTTTTATGTATTTTTCAATTCTCTTCAACTTTTGTTTGAAACTTTTTCGATTAAATGCCTCGATTCTAAGATACGGCCATTTTTTACTCTTTTTTACCCTTTTTCTCATGAACCGCTCATCCTAGTGCAAAAAAATTAGCACCATTCGATTCAGCGTCGTCGAATTACTATTGTATCAAGTTGTAATTGTCTTAGCCAAAAAAGTTCTTATTTGCCTCTTATTGACTGACCTATAGAAAAAGTTCCAGTTTGCCTCTTTTTGACTGGCCTAATGGTAATTTCTGTGAAAATCGATCTAAATGTAATAATCTTCTATTACGATAAGTAACAGTGAGCCCTGCATAATAACACACCGGCAATGAGTAAGTTTCAGTTTATAGAGGTGCGTATAGTATAGCGGCACGCAGTCTCAAAAATCCGTTCCATTCTTGCTTTTGTATTGTGTGTGGGGGGCGGTATGTGTGTTGTGTTGTGTGTGTGCGTGCGCATGTTGACCGATAATGTATTCTTCTCAACATTGCCTAAATAGCATTTAATATTCTATATAATACCTAAGTATTATGTACAATGCCTAGGAAAAGTCCGTAACAATTCTTGTTTCCTACATTGTCTAAAAACGCTTGACATTGTTCATAATTCCGGTATTTCCCACTTGGACTATAACATATCCCAAAAACTGACGTTATTAATTACACGGAGAACATATTATATCAATTAATAACTTACCTTGACAGTCTGAATATTGTACGATTCTCCTGATTCATTATAAACAACAGTTACATAATCATTTCCAATATGTTGTTTCTTAGAAGTACATTTTGGATCGCTTTGTTTTGTTGGCATTAATGTAGCTACATGAAATGCAACCTAAAATAAAAAATTAATAAATAACTGTATTTATTTTAAATTAAATTAAACATAAATAATTATTAAAGTGGAATACAAACTTGTGTAACATCATCTTGCCATATATATGCAAAATTTCCATTTTCGCCATTGCGATCTAATCCTCCTAAAAATACACTTTCATCTACATCTTTCAATCGAATTAAAGTTCCTAAATCTTTTAAAAATTTCATGTATCGATCAGAACCATGCTGATTTGCTAATATTTCAATCTCATTGGAAACTTGTCCTGGACCAACATATAATACTCCAATTTTATGGGTTTCATATGGTTGTATTCTATCTAAATTTGTTACCGCTCTTTGTACAGCAGTTGTTTGAGGAACTAATAATGGTTTTTCTGTTGTAGTACCAAAATGTGCAGTGTGATATAATTGTAAAAATACAAAACTGTAATATGGATATTTGATACGTTAGTTTAGTAATAGAAAATGTTCATTTCATATTTAATGTTTCTTTGCCTGAATTCTATACACTACCTAGGGTTAATACCGGTCCGAGGGGATTCCTTAATACGTGGTGAATTACCTCGTCGAGCGCTATTCCATTCATTACGGGATTTTGTAACTGGACTCATTACAGAGATGGTATGTCCTCTATCGCGGAAAGGTATTGGTAAAGGTGGTAATGCAGACGGATCCGGTCTTTCATCTTTCTAATAAAGGAAGACAAAGCAAATTATTAATTATAGTTTAAATGATAGTTTATATAATGCATTACAATTAATATACCTTATCGACAAATAGATTTCTACCAATAGGAGGTTTATTTTCGCTAGCTATCGGTATTTGTTTTTGATTAGTGTCATAATTAACCAAACGAGGATAAATCTGTGTTGGCGATTGCGGAGGTTTCGTTCCTGTTGATTGCATTTGCGTTGTACGAACTTGCGTTGTCAAGAAGTTTCCAGGTGCCTAAATTATTTGACAGATGTATATTATATTACGTAATCCGTACATAATATAACGTTAATAAAAGTAACTCGTATCATTTATTGTTAGTGTTTTTCATGCCTGTGCAGTAGTTGGTGATGGCGGTACAGTATTGCTATTAGTAGTTATTTGCGTCGCTTGTGTTGCTCCAGGATATGAACGCTGTGATCGTAAAGTACTTGGATGATCTGCCGTGGTATTTTCTGACGATGGTGGTGTAGTACCCATGCTAAACATCTCTTCTGGTATTGCTTCATAACTTACTCTAAAATTAAATAATATTATACCTATAATAGAGAAAGATTCTTAATATTAAGGAAATAAATAAAATAAAATATCGAGTTAAATACCACCTCATGTCTTTTGAAAAATTAGTTTTTGTATGCTTTTTCAATTCTGCTTCTAATTTAATGTCTACATCCATAGCAGACAGATCTTTATCAAATTGTTGTAAATTAATCTTTTCTTTATTTAAAAATGGATTTTTCCAATTGGCACTCATTTCAGGACTTGAGTTTGATCTACGTACTGGATTTCGAGCCCGCCTGATATCTACTATAATATTAAAATTTTAAATGATTATTTTCAATATTTTACCATCCTATATTATTATTTATTTATCAAACATACCATCCTCGCCTTCCTCTAAACTTTCAAAACTATCTTGTGAACTTTGACGCGAGGGACTCGGACGAGCAGGCGAACCAGGTATTGCAATTGGTCCTGAAGACACAGACGAAGAAGTCATTGATTTCATTATACTACTTTGCTCGCTTTGTGGAAAATCATTTTTATCCAGTCCATCCTAAAACAATATTTAACAATTCTTACAATTGTAAAATTTGGGGATTTTGTTCATTATTACAATAATGAATGTTCTTTTATTAAATACCTCTCCTTCATCTCCCGAGTAATCTACAGTAGATTCTTGTTGCCTACTCGATACACCATCACTTGGAAGTGGCATATAAAGAGCCATAATGTCATTTACAGGAAAATCCATTGGAGTTTCTAATTGCATAGAGTTTTGAATTCTCATAATCCAAGACATATCGCCCGTAGGTCTGCGTACATATATTTCAGCCCAACCTTGACACCAACAAGCACAAAGTACATGCTCTTCATCTTTTCTTATTTCAAGTATTTGTTCTAATTTTGATTGCTTTTTATGATCTTTTTTATTTTTTTCTATGAGAATTTCTCGTTTTGTATTATCCATATCGTCTATTGATTTTTTCGATTCTTCGATTGGACAATTTGCAGTAGTATTCGCATTAGAATTTCCGTGTCCGCTATAAGATTGCCTAGACAATTTTTCTTCTTTCCCAATCTGAAAAGCATTATTTATAACCTTAATATTACATATTGAAAAATCATACACGTGATTGAAATATTCTCTATTTAAATTTTGTAAATTCACATAAATAATTGTTATATACAAAAATTTGAAATATAAGCGACTATTTAATATACCTCCAAACTAGATATTCTACGTAAATTTGTTTGAGAGGACTTTATATGTTCAGGTGATTGAGGCC